TTGTTTTGAGGGGGGGGGGCAGTGTCCAGTATTATGTCCTAGACGTCCATATGGTCAGCCCAGGTCTAAGGGAATTTGAGCAAAATGTTAATATTATTTTTTAAGATCCGTACCAGAAAAACAACAAATTATGGCCCCAAATGATGAGGGTTACCAATGCTTTAGGTTCCTCCTATAGCCAATGCTATGTTTCAGTAGTCAAGAGCTGAGATACCTAATCAACAAAAAAAGATTCTGTACAGTGACTTATCATTGAAAGGCATATTACAATTCCTGACACCATCTAATGAGGTTCGCAATTAATTCATAGTTTCAGCTATTAGTAACACAGCTCATGCTTGTTCAAGTTCCACAAGTACTCCATGGCAATCCTGAGGGTGAAGAAAAATCACTGGTTTGCCATGTGCACCTATTTTAGGCTCTTCACTCAATATTCGGATCTTTGTTTTCTTCAGTTCCGCCACTGCTGCTGTTATATCATCCACCTTATGAAAAAAAAAGTGTGCATAATTTGAATATTGGAGTAGTTTTTCAGACTATCTTGGGTACAATGGTGTTAAAGCAGCACATTTCAGTGTAACATTTATTTTTTTTTAGAATTATGCAGCTACATTGAATCTTACAACAATGTAAATAGTCAAAGGCTTGTGACTGTGTTATAGTCAACAATTATGTTTTCTTAAGGTGGTTTACTTTATGAGCAGCAAATGCATTGATTTTATAGTTACTATATCATGTAGAATTCATATATAATTTAAACCACCAGCAAGCAGCCCTTGCATTACTAACAAGCATATCATATTGCTTTGCAGTATTATTAACAAAAAAACCCAAAAAACAAACAAAAAATCTTGCCTAATTGAAGACAGACTCCAGACTCATTAAATGCCGGTGAGGGAGTGCCACTAGGGTTAGATGCATCCTTCTCTTGGGTTAGATTAAGGTTTGGTATAAATTGGTCTCCTAAGAGACACCTTGGAGAATTACCAGGAATACTAGCTAACAATACACAGCAGACTGTGACCCATTTTTCCTATTGGACAAATGTATTTAAATTATAACAGCAGCATCACACACACTATTTCACGGTAACCCAAAAGAAAAAAAAAGAACAGTAATTAACACAGCCCTAGCATGAAGTTGTGTAAAATGGCTTTATTTTTGATATACTGACAAACTGAGCCTTGCGTGCATGCAAAAATAAAATTAGCACTCAAACACACAGTAAAGGACAGAAATAACAGAGCTGCTGTTTTTGAAGAGAGGTGCCAGGATGCAGAGGATTGAGTAAACCTGCGAATTGGAGGAGGTGGGGGGGAGCATGTCTTATGATTGCAGGAGTAGACTTCAATTAAGTCATACTTCTATTTAATAGAGTTTTTAGAAATCCTGAAGTTGCCAAAGTCATATCCACATTGTTACCAAGCTCCTTCTTTTAAACATGTGACAGTAAAGCATTCCCTAAAATAAGATACTGTGTGTAATGCATGCTGTGGTGCACTGTAGTCCCCTCCAGGTTGATTCCCAGAGCAGAGAAACCACCGCAGCTGCCTCTGCTCTCTACAGAGATGGCCAACTAAATCAGCCAGAAGGCAAATTCTGCCTGGGCTCAGCTGCAATGAATTACTACATCCATGGGGACAATAACGGAACAGAACTGAACTCTAGAGCATTTGTGGGGGTATCTACATAAAGAAAAATAAGCGTGTGCATGTGTGAAAAACAGATTCCCCTTCTGTTCCACCAGGTGTTCAAACTGCTTTCTATAACAGGTGTTAAAATATCATAGCTAGAGCTGATCAGAAATATTTTATCTTGGCTATACAAAAAAAATGCTAACTTTTGTCAGAAGTAGATGTATTTAGCAAAAGCTATCAATTTTGACACACTTATGGGGGGTTGATCATTTCCATAATTCAGAATGATGGTTTTTTCCTTGACTATTTTTTCAGGTCAGCCTGACTTTTTCAAAGTATTCGTTGCTTTAATATGACCATATTTTCAGAAGTTTTAAAGAGTTATAATTACATTGAAACTGAACAACGGAACCCAAATTATTTTTTTATTTTCAAAGTTTTAAGTTTTTGTGCTACTGTATAAAATAATATTCTTCTAAATTTGAGTCTCCCATAAAATGGAAAATCAGCTTACTACACAGCACTAGTTTTTACCTGGGTATCACAGTGGATCATCTATTCTAGTATGAACAAGGCTGCTAGCTGGCATTTGCCTAGAGCTGGGAATCCAAGGTTTCCTGCAGCCCATAAAACTTTTCTTATCGGTCTTGTTTTAATTTGGGGGGGTTGTTTAGTGACATTTTTGAACAGTGAGAGTCTCCTGAGTTCATGCAGCAAAAGCTTGGCTGCCAAAAACCTCACCTCCTTCATGTAGTATAAATTGGTATCGAGTTCTTGTAGATCTCTGCTCCATTGACCTATTGGGCTTGCTAATATATTTTTCTAACTTAGTACTTTCCAACATGGAATGAGAGAGAGCCCCACTGTTCTTAATTTTAGGAGTTAACAGCATGACATGCCTTTTAACAACTTTCTTTAGTAGCTTCTGCAGTAGGAAAGGTCACAGGTCTCCTGCCAAATCAGACTCTATACAAAATATGTCAATGCTGCTAACAAATGTTTCTCCAAGCAACTTTCCTTGCTTCTCAATACAGATATATTCTAAAAAGTAGATGCAGGCATTTTAAAAATGCCTACGTGTTCCTTCTCTTTGTACCTGTAACCAAAGTGTCACTATTTCTATTACTTAGAAGGGTTTTTCCCTCCAAGTCTTATCACATACCTCCTACCTTCTCAACCCCCTACTTTGCTAAGTTGCTATAGTCTTTCACATTTTGCTATTAGCTCTGCATAGCAATTCAGCTTACTGACCATTTACAGAGAATTAATTCAACTTCCTTTTAACTTCTTGAATAATTGCAAGTACCGTATTTACTTGCATACAACATGCCCTGGAATAAAAATATGCACCTTGTTTTTGAAAGGCAGAATGAAGTGGGGGGAGAGGGGGAAAGAGAGGAAAAAAAAAAGATCTTTCCTTGTGGAAAGCAACAGAGTAGCAGGAACTAGGGAGCTGGACCTGCTCATTGTTCTACTCTTGAGAGTTGCAGGCAGATTTTACTTTCACTTTTGCCGGGTAAGAGCAATTTCCACCTCTGTATTTCTCACATATGACATGCACAGTAGATCCAGCAACTGGTTTTGAGGGTAAAAAGATATGTGAGAAAATGCAATAGATATCCAATTTTATAGAAACTGGAAATATATTAATTTGATTAAAATTGCTGGATAACTAAAACAGCATTTTTAAAAGGATAGCGGCCTCTCCATTTGACAATCCACTGTGAAGTCCCATAAATCTGTCCCCTACTAATTTCAACAGATGCCCCCTAGTTCTAGTATTCTGGGACTTGGAAAAATTTGCTCGGTCCATACCCTTCATCATTTTTAAACATCTATCATATCCCTTCTCCCTTCCAAACTGAAGGGTCCTAGCCCTTTTTAGGAGGGGGGTTGATTGCTAACACACACTGAGCTGATGTTTTTAGGGAACAATCTACATTCTACAATGATTACACGGTTTCTTTCCTAAGTGTAATAGCTAGTTCAGAACCCAGCACTGTGTATGTATTTGAGGTTATTTTTCCCTAGGTGCATTACCTTGAACGTGTTGACACTAAAGTTCATCTGCCATTTTTTTAAAACTCACTCATTTAGCTTAAGTGAGATCTTTCTGCAACTCCTCTCTGTCAGCTTGGGATTTGACTACCCAGAATAATTTGGTATCGCCTAAAAACTAGATATGACTGTGCACCCCCACTTCCAGGTCCTTGAGGAAACTGTTAAATAAAATAGGGCCCATCACAGATCCCTGTACAACCCCACTCCTGACCTCCCTCCATCCTGAAAAGTGTCTGTGGTAAAGATAAAGCACATCTATAAGTAAGGGATTGGGGCTTAAGATCCTTTTTCCTCACCTCCCCCACCTTACTATTTGTAAAACAGAAGGAGGACCAGCTCTCTGAGAAAAAAATCTTCATTTTTCTGAAAAGGAACCGGCCAATCAGTTTGTGAATGATTCAAAAAAAACCTTATTAAAGAGATGCAGTCAATGAAATAAGTAGAAAAAAAGAACAGCTAATGAAAGCATGTCTTTTTATGTACTGTTTAATTTTGCCTTCCCCCTCTCCCCCGTCATGCATAAGATGCTGCCAAATTATCTCCTCTTAAAATTCAGCAGGCTTAAACCTAACATTTGTCATAATCATAGATTGCTATTCAGAAGCAAATCACTCCCCTTCTCTACTCAGGCATGTTGATTCCATCTTATCATCAGGATGGAGTTATGCAATTAATTAGTTATCCTGTTTAATGTGTTAGCAAGGCTTGTGTGCAAAATAAATACAGCCCAGGATTACCATGCTTATATGAATTGTGAAAACAGAATCTGCAATTATATTACATTACATATATTATTCATATTACATATAAATATTCATACTTGGAAGTAGGACATGTAGTGGGTAAAGCATGTGACAATGTCACCACTCATGGCTTTTATGCTTTCCCATACCATTGAGTGACTGTCTAATCTTGAATAGCTCAGTTGAATATATTTTTATTCACTGCACTGCTTTATAAAGCAGAAAGACCTCACAATATTGCTTTTGGCTGTAGAATTTTTTGTGACCTCCTTTAATGAAAGGACTATACAAGTATAACTATGAGCAATATTTCCTCCTCAGTTTTGCCAAGCCATCTTAGTACTGGAGTAGCAGGTGAACATTAAGATAAGGGACAACTAAAGCGCCCACATTTGACTTAAGTGAATTATTTTCATATATAGCAAAAAGCTACAACAATCTTTCAACGCGTATGTATGCAAGGAGATCCAAATCAATTAAAGATTTCTGTTACAAAAGTTTCACTTACATTGATTCTACAGTCATTCAATGACAAATTTCCATAGCAACAGAGAACTGGAGCACTTCCATCCAAGCACTCAATTTTATTTCTCGGTGTTCCTTGTTGACAGCAATCCACTGCCATAAAGATTTTGTTTCTTGTGCCACAGAGAATATAGCCAAAAGTTTTGATGTTATGTAATGAGCAAGTCTATATGGCAATGTATTTTCTGTCCTTATTAGCAGGTGAAATATCAGTTTACCACAACAGAAGGCTCAAAAATCAGGGAAATAGTAGGTGTTAATGCAATCAATTCTCTACAGGAAGTCAAATATAAATCTTAGGTGAAAAAAAAAAAGAGTTAAGACCAACTACCAGTTACTCAGATTCAGGCTAACCTTATGGGAAAAAAGTTAACACACACTTATAAAATTGTCTGTTAAAAGTTTTGAATGGAAAATTTGAGTAAGTAGATTTGAGATACCAGTCTTTTATAGGGCGGTTAGGCTGGTTTCTTTTCACCCAATATCTACTGTGACAATATTAGGACTCAGTGTAGGGGAAGACTTGGCTATGCTGCATATATACAGTTTTTTATATTTTTCTGTGCATTTATGTAGCTGACTACACAATTGTTCATAGCCACAATCTGACAGAATACTTAAACTTTAGTTTCAACAGTAATCCCATTAAAAAGTTCAGTAGGACTGCATGCACGCACAAGGTTAAGCACGCATGTATTTGCAAGACAAGAACCTATAAACCATGAGGAATTCATTATATATACATACTCCATATTTCATTGCATATTATATGCCCCAGAATATAATATGCACTTTTCACTTCATTCTGCCTTTCACAAACAAGACTTTTCCAGAGTTACAGCTGCATAGAGCAGTGACAGAGCCTAGTCTTCAGCTCACTCACCCTCCCTTTACTACTTAAGTAAAGCCAAAACCTAGATTCTGCTGAAGACTGGCCCACAAGTGGTTCACATTTTTCTTTTCTGATTTTGAAGAGAGATAAACAGTCTCCAGGATTATGAAATAATACAAGAAACCAGGAGTAGCTGATAGACAATGAAATTGTCCTAAGAAAGGTTAATTTAAGTAGTGGAACAACCATCTCCTTTATAAAGGAAGACCATTAAAAAGGAGAGATGGTTGTTCTTTATTCTACAGTTTTTAACAGTGAACCATTAAATCAACTGACTTCCACAGCTGCATGGATAATAGCGCCACAGCTGCTGCACTGTAGGGCAGGAATCAAGGCTGGGTGCTTTTATCTCTGGTGTAAAAAAATCAGCTTCTCTGGTTACTCTACAAGGGAGCTGACCGGGGAGGGGGAAAGGGAAGGTGCATATTGTATGCAAGAAAGTACAGTATATAGATGCAATATATAGTGACAACTTTAAAATTGTGATACTCTTCCTCAATAGTCACAGCTGTGGTGTGTTTAAAAAAACCACAACAAGACACCACTTTATCAGCAATTTTATTCTGCATATATCAAGACTCACTTGCAAAGGAGGAAAAAAAGTCTGTATTACTGTCAGCCCTGCAGAATTACCACAATCCTTTTTTGGCCTGTCTTTTGACTTGTGAATAAAAACCAAAAAGAAGGGACACTAATGAAATCTCATAAGTTTCAAATTATGGTGTCTAATATAGATGACATAGGAACTGATGCATAGATTTTTCTAGTGCTTGTAATGTCTCTATCTTGGACTTGCAACTTGCAAAGTTACCTTTTCCCAAGGCATTCCATGCATTTCTTTTGTATTTTGCAGGCATGGCACTGGAAATCAATTATTTGAACTTGGTATATTTTCTTAAAAGGCTTGCATCCTGACAAAGTCAAAGTGAACTATAAATTTCAAGCTACAAGTTCACTTTCCCCGCCTCATTCAACAGAAATCCCCACAAAAATAACAACCAAGCATCACATTTTCCTGTATTTGGGTCATACAGATGAAAAAATATGCAGCTTTTTAACAAGGTATTTAAAAAAAATAATGCGCAACTAGAATACCTCAATGCAGACATGATGCATTCCTCCAGCCTTGTTTTTCTGCAGAAAGCCTGCAATTGGACTTCTCTTTCCAAGAGGGTGCAGCAGTTCCAGCTTCGTATTTCCCAGCTCCACAAAAGCAGTGTAGACACCGTGTTCAGGAAGAGGAACTGTCTCACTCACCTGGGCTCCTAACACATCTTTGTACAAAGATCGGGCCTTTTCTAAATCAGGGACTGCAATTGCTACATGATTGAGACGGCCAAGTTTCCACAAAGAACGTGGAACTTTTTCAGCTGAGGAAATTGTTGCTGATGAAGTTCTGACTGAGAAAGAAGTAGCTTGCAACCTGGCAAGAAGACCTGTAAAATTGAATAGTATTGCTATAATCCTTTTAAGGAGAACAAAATTACATAAAATCAATGGCTGTCTTTTCCCCCTTTAATGAAGCCTACATAAACCCCATGTCATTACACTTAGCATACTCATTTCACCAGTATGCTAAAGATAAAGGTAGCAAGATAACACTAGGAAAGAAATGGCTCCCTGCTATTAGTTCAACAGCTATTATTCTTTCAGAAACTATTAAATTAATCCAGAGGTAGTAACTGAAGAGTTTACAGCATGAATGTGCAGCTCTGTCCATTTCAAATAAGGCTAATAGAAAAAAAGAAAGTTCATTTTAAGCTTCAGTTGAGCCTGGTATCAAAATGAGATTTTCCCAATTATATGTACAAGTTTATAGCGTAAAGGCCAGCTATGCACTACTGGTCTATACACTGTTTCCATTTCATTCAGAATCTTACCATTAAGACAGACAGAAACATGAGTATGGCTATAAAACTCCTGAACATTACTAATGGACTAATGGATCTGTTCTTAAAATTTAAGTCCCAGTAGGAAGTAACTACTCACCCCCTCTCCTAGCATAAGGAGATAGTTAACCCCTGAAAGATGCTCACTTGAAGACATGATGGGATCTAATCAGCAATGCCAACAATTGGGCCTCCTGCCATGCCACGTGCACAGCAGAACACACAATTTCAGGATCAATGATCAGATCCCAGCTGTGCCTTACTTGCTTGTGTCAAAACCCCAGCTGGGTGGCGGGCACAAGGAACTCAGGATCATGCTGCTGAAGCCCATCCCAGGCTTCCCATGCACTGGGGATGAGAAAAACCCATGTGCTGCTCAGCTGAGTGCCAGACGTGGCTTTTATAGCTCCTGGTACATGGGGAACCTGGCATCTGGGTGTGTCCCTGTGCACTGGGAGTTATATAACCACATATGCTGCCCAGTTGGACAGGTCCCAGCAAACAGTGACTTCAGGATCAGGCTGTCATAGACTGATGCCAGGCTCCCCATGCACCAGGAACTATTAAACAAAGTGCGCCACCCAGCTGGTTTAGCACACAGGTGGCCACACATTAAATTTAAGGTATGATACAAATGAGCCAAAGTTAGTCCATGTTATGTGTCAAATAACTTTGTGACTTGTTTACTGTATTATCACGCCTTAAATTGACTTGCACATGCGCGCAGGTTAGTATTTAGGGTGTAATTAACCTGTTAAATCATGTCTTAAATGTAACTTGTCAGGGGCTAAGTGAAGGCCCAACATCATCTAGTAGCTCAAACACAAGAAGTGGAGCCAAGAACTTTCAAGTGTCATTCCTTCTCCCCATTCATTCCCTCTTAAAACTTGGGAAGTCCTCCTACTTCTGTCAGTTTCCACATCCATATATGGAGTAATAATTAATTTCATAAGTCTGTTTCAAGATCAAAAGTTAATGTCTGTGAAATGTTTTGAAGCTAGAAAGAGCATAACAATGTTATTTCTTTTCAGAATACAGGGTCTGGCATTGCCATTTTAAGAGTACAGGTTTCCCTCACTTTATGAGGGTTCTGTATGTGCGAATTCATTCTTATGCGATAACTTTTATACCAAAAACTTGTTATATGCAAGGTAAATTCACTCTTATGTAATTAGTGTGGTAGAAGCCCACAGTCAGCTGCTTTATGAGGCGAATATTGTGGAAGTGACATGCACCAAAATATAGTCTCCTGTGTAGATCTGTGCTCCTCACCAGTTGTCTGCAACACGTGTTTCTGTAGTTGCCATCCCCACTTCACCACCACCCTGTGCTTGTATGTACTGCCTGCTGTTGGCGAGTACCAAAATTGTCTTGTAGAAATGGGTCTGAGGGTCAGTCCAGTAAAGGTCTTGGAACATATCTCTATTTGTTACATTGTAAAGTGAGTTCCCTTTATGTGAATTTGAGTTATGCGCCATTTTCCAGGAACACACGTACTGTATAAAGGCAGGGAAACCTGTATGCTGCCTCAAAAACATTTCTATTTATGCAAACAGCTATATTTCTCCCAGTGTATAAAAGAAACATTGTGGAATTAAGCACAAAACTTAAGCAAAAGATCACTAAATACTGGATGATCATATGACAGAAGTGGTTGATGAAAATGAATAAAATGTTCTAGGAAAACTTAATTATGGAAAATGTCACTGACACAAGAAATAATATCTGCACAATTATAATACTTGAGCTTTCTTTCTGGATTACTCATTGAAGGCACTGTTGAACTATAACTTGCTGTGGACTCATCTCCTGTTACAGCATGTATTTGTCCCCAGAAAAAAGAATGCTACAATTTTCTTTTACACTCCCCACCCCCAATCCAATACCTGGACATTTTGACTTTGCCTGTAGATGGTTCACTATGAAGTGATTTCATCAAGTACTTTGGTAGCTGCTCAGTTACAACCTTGGCTATATAAGCAGCTTAAAGGAAGTATGTCATAGTTATGAATAGTGGTTTGCCATAATGGATCCTAGATTGTGATGTCTTCAGATTTAAAAACTGGGGGCAAGGAAAAGGAAGAGAAGTTGCACGAATTGCACAGCCATGCTGCTCTTACCACATCTACAGAATGAGGGAAGGGAACAGTACTGCAGAAAAGGGATTCAGTACTGCCCTAGGTCTTGATCTTATGGTATAAAACAGAAGTGTCAAAACTTGTCTGGCCCTGTGGGCTGGATGAGTCACATGGAGCCAGTCCATGGTTGGACCCTCCCCGCCCATGCCAGACCCACTCCCTGCAGCACCAGCTCTGACAGCTCTAGGATCCAGGCTATGTGCGATATGCATCCTAGAGTGCCAGGGCAAGTGTCACACTGCATGCAGTACCTGCTCCAGCATGAGGGCTTTGCATATCCCGGATCCATGCCATACACTGTGCCTGCTCCATCAGATCTAGGCCTTACACTGTACATGATACCTATGCTCACTATGTGCAGCACAGATCCTGGACTGGCTGGAGCAGACACTGCACATTCCAGAGCATTGGGGTAGACAACACATGCACTGGATTCCCAGAGCAGCTGAAACAGGCACCACATGTGCCACATGTCCCAGGCCCTGCCCACAGAGTCGGTCTAGGTCAATTCAGACACAGAGGCAACACCAGGGCTAGATAACAGGACTCTGAACCAGATCTGACCTACATGTTTCACACTCCTGGTACAGAAGTAAATAGAACCTTTGCCTTTGACTGCTGTGGGTGCTGGGTCAAGCCTTTATAGTGGAGAAAGCCAACCATCAAGTCACCTACAGCAAATGCCTTGTTTTCATTCTTCCAAATACTGACCTCTCATTTCCACTTATCTTCCTAAGAATGTCTAAATTTGTAACAGTGTTCCTGCCAGACTTAACTGATAGGCACTGGGACATAGGTTTAAATCACTGCTTGGAGAGTTTTAAGCATGTGAAATTGCGAAACACATACTTGTTAACACAAGACCCAAGAATCTTGGAAGACTGACCATCACTGATCTTGCTTTAACACCATGACTTTGCAGATGGTTTCTGGAAACAAGCCACTAACCCTATCATGAATACGACTATACACAAATGTACAGTCTGGCCATATGAACATTTCGGGCTGCCTTACGTGTTCAAAAAGATAACCTATAGACTGGAATATTCAGGGTTTGTTTATATTCCTATAGTAAAATATTAAAGACTAAGAAAGGCTAGCTTAAAATAAAACAAAACAGTAAAGAAAATTATAATACCTAGATCAGAACACAAGTAGAAAAAGATGAAAATTGTGTTTTAGAATATATTAAAATATTGTATAAATAGTTTGATTGAAAAAAATCAAATGAAAAATACAGGAAAAATTAGAATCTTTAATCTCCTCTTAAAAGAACAAATTTTAATGATAAAGTGAATAATGCTTTGAGCTTGGATTTACTTGACTTACTCCCTTTCAAACCAGAAGTCAAAACAGCAGTACTACTGATAATCTAAGTGAGAGACCATCAAAAATAGGACCTAACTTTTTCAAAATCTTCCCAGTTAAAACTCTTAGGCATTTTGATTCTTACTACCATGAAATTTACATGATTTTTAGATAACATTTATATGTACATGGGGAGGTCCCTAAAAGAATCAATGGAGTCCTCTGGTCCTACTTCTTGAGCAAAAAAACAACAAAACAAACAAACTGGTGATTCAAAAAACCATTTCTCAATTAAAAAAAAAAGAAAGAAAAAAAAAGTAATTTTTTGCCCCCAATAATGAAATATAAATATAATATGTGAGGCTGATGGTAAGGAATGAATGTATTCATGTTACTCATAGATGGCATTTAAAGAAAAAAAAAAAGGAGAGGGGTACAGAAATATGGCTGAATTGATTAAATACAACCAAAACCAGAAAATCAGATTTGACAGCAGACTCTAGAATTTTTTTTCCTAAATGCTGACAGAGATGGGGGTTTGTAGATGTTTAAGGCACCTCTAGAAGGTGTACAATAATGTACTAGAAGCATTTAATGCATTCTCAAAGTCTTCACATCTCCAACTGTGCCATATTGCTATGAGACTGTGCCAAGGACACGGTGAGACTTCGACTTTGTACTACAGGAATAATAGCTTGGCTTATGTATTCTTCAGGCTCACTCTCTCCTCTAACAAATAGAAGGTTAATAGTAGCTGCAGTTTAAAACTTAAGCGAGTCTTCATTCTTTCCTGCAAGACCTGGGTTCATTCCACGTACAAGACACTTAGAGTTTTAGTTCACCAAATACAGACTTATGGGTGCAAAGCCAAGCAAAAAGCTACTAGCTTAAAGAAAATTTTATGACTAGTGGAGCTACAGTTGACAAATTGGGGGTGGGGCCTGTATATGAGCCAAATATCTGATAGGGATAATGCGTATAATTCAAGAGAATAAATGTAATACAGAAAATAAAGTCTGCTCAGAAGTCTTTGGAGTGGCAAAATAGACTAGAATATGAATACTTATTTCCATCTACTTGTGCTGCTCTGTGGCTAACCACTCTGAAACATCAATTACTTACTAGACCTTCACACGGAGCAAGCACACTGATAACTGGCACTTCGCCGTCTCCTCCAATCTATGTAAATAAAGCATAAAAGCAGAGTGTGAAACCCCAGATCTCCGAGGCGTATGGAAGTCTTTCAATTAACTACAATAGGACCAGGATTTCATCCAGAATCTCTTCCAGACAATTCTCTCTCGGTTCTACTTATTATTCTTTTGCTGTTGCATTGGATGTATGGAAATTCCAGTGTTCTATATTCTTTGTGTTGTTATTTTAATAATTCTTAAGTAGCAATTCTGAAGATGAAATGGTGTCTTAAAACGGCTATGCTGTAGATAAAAAAAGATGATGAGTTTTACTTACCAATTAAATACATGCAGCTGTGTCTGAGAAGCATAGATGTGTGTACCATTTGAAAAATTGCTCAGCATTTGTGGCCAGAATTTAGCAAGACTTTAACTGATTTAACACCAGATTAACACGGAGAAAGAAAGACTGTTCCCACTATTCCAGTGCAGGGAAAGTAATTTTAAAATCCTTTAAACTTGTACACATTTAGAAATATTTTATTAGATTTCCTTCTCCTTTGAAGAAAGCTGGACAACAGAACATGAAATATTTTTTTCCACGTGAATATGGAGGGTTTTTGCTTTTTCACAGACTTTTTCAACTTTTCCTCAGTCTAAAAAATCTGATGCATTTAATTTATTCAAGATGGAAATGGTATACAAGTCTTGCTCGGTACACTTCTTGACATCCATACAGTTCTAATTTTAAACCCATAGATATTAATGCAAGTCAAAATTAAGATAGGTAAGGGAGATACTTATCAATGTTGTTTTAAGTACACAAGCACTTGAATGTTGTTTAGAACTCCAATATTTGTTCATCTTCCTGTTTCAGTTCCTCACTTTCAAATTAGGAAGCAGCACAAACAAGAATCAAAAAAGGAACACGCAATGCAAAAATCATAAAACTTTTTAGTAAACCTATTTGCTGAACTATGCCCTGTCACTTCCAGGTTTCAAGAAAAAGATACCAAAAACTCTGTGCATTTCACAAAAATAAATAAATAAATATTCTAAAGTTTACATTCTTTTAGTAACTGTTTTTTTATTCTGGGATAGGCTCTTTGCTTACACAAATGTTTCTCCAGTGAGTCAAATGGAGTTCTGCCCAATTTTTTCCCCACTTAAGATGGACAATGGGCTCACTGCTTGTTGTTTAGAGAGATAATGACTATTTGGATTGAAGCATCTTTCCTGGTTGCTAGATTTACCAATACTGAACGTGCATAGCTAAATTCTTGTATGCATTTCTTCTTCCAATAAGAACATAAGAAGTGACATCCTGGGTCAGAGAAATGGTCCATCTCCAACAATGGCAGGGGTGGATGCTAAAGACAGCACTGAACTAGATACATCCAGAGTGATCTATTCAATATCCTCCTGGCATCCATCATTATTGATTTAAAGATGCCAGAGGAAACATTTCCAATCATTCAGCTCAACAGATCCATCATCCATAAATTTATATAATCCCTCTCTAAAACTTGGCTAAACTATCTGCCTCCACCACCTCCTGTGGCAATGAATTCCACAAATTAACTATGTTGCATAAATAAGTAGTCTCTCCTGAGCTGTAAATCTGTCACCTACTAATTTCAGAGGGTGTCCCCTAGTGCTAGCAGTCTGGGACATAAAGAACAAGTTCCCTGTGCATTTGGTCCATGACCTTCATGATTTTTTACATCTATTGTTTCCCCCCCGCTCACCCTTATAACTTTCTCCTTTCCAAACTGAAGAGTCCTAGCCTTTTCTGGCCTCTCCTGGTATGGCAACTGCTCCCGGCCCCTGGTCATTTTAATCATCTTTCTCTGTACCTTTCTAGTTCTATTACATCCTTTTAAAGATGTGGGGACCAGAATGCAGCGTGCGGCTCAAAACGTGTGCGCACCATGTATTCGTGTAGTGGCATGATGATGCTCTCCATTTTGTTTTCAATTCCTTCCTTAATGATGCCTAACATTTTATAGACTCTTTTGGTCAACGCACGCACCAAGCTAATGTTTTAAGGGAACAGTCTACAAAAACTTCAAGGTTTCTTTCCCAAGTTGTAATAGCTAATTCAAAACCCAGCATTATGTATACCTGGGGTTATTTTTCCCCAGGTGCATTACCTGGCACTTGTTGACACTGAAGTTCACCTGCCTTTTTTTTTTTTAAACTCACTCACTTAGCTTAGTGAGACCTTTCTGCAGCTCCTCTCAGTCAGCTTGGAACCGGACTATACAGAATAATTCAGTTTCATCTGCAAACTTGATGTTACTGTGCATCCCCACTTCCAGGTCACTGTTGAACAAAACAGGGCTCAGCAAAGATCCCTGTGGGACCCCACATTTGACCCCCTTCCATCCTGAAAAGTGAGCATTTAACCTAGAGGTGGGCAATTATTTGGGCCAGAGGGAAACTTAGGGAGTTTGGGTGAACTACCGCAGGCTAGGTTAGCAGCACTGCACCCTCTCCCCACAACAGCTTGGCAAAACTCCTCAGAGTGGTTCTGCTTAGTGCTGAGCTGGGAGACTGAGATGGAGGCACAGGTGCACTGGGGAGTGGCATCTGAGAGCCGGATGGTGGGTAGGGCTGACCCAGAACTGGGATCACAGGGCCATGACACCACAGGGCTGGGGCAGAGTCAATCCACTCCCTGCAAGTCCCTGTGACAGGCACTGGTTCTGCAGGCAGGGGTATGCAGGGAGCAGACTGTAGCACTGCCCTGGGCCCTGGCCCCACACTTTCACCGACTCCGTGGAGACTGCCTGGGACCTGCATGGGCAGGGCACACAGCCAGGAGGATGAGAGGTGGCCACAGGTGATGGGGAGCTGCATCTGGGAGCAGGATGGATGGGCAGGGCAGGGACCTTGAGGCAGTGACAGCACAGGGCAGGGCCATGATCCACTCGCTGTATGTCCCTGTCCACAGAACTGGCACCCTTTGCAACTCTCCCACTCCCAGATGCTACTCCCTGCCTGACTGCAGCCCCATCCCATCTGCCCAGACAGCAGTGGGTATGGGATGAACAGGCCAGGGTGCATGGGCAGCAGCCAGATGAAGCGGCTGCTGCCAGAAAGTGAGCCCAGCCACTGCACCACCTAGCACCGCTGAATGCCTAGAGGTAGTGGGACCAGCTACATGAGCCACAGCCTGGGCTGTGCCCTACATGAACCATGGTCTGGACTGGGCAGGGCGAGGGGACCTGCTGTAGGCTGGACAAAATCAATGGGCCAGATCCAGCTCATGGGCAGTATTTTGCCCACCCAGTTTAGCCCTACCCTTTGCTTCCTATCTTTTAACTAACTGTCAAACCACAAAAGTGCCTTCCTTCCAATCTCATAATGCAGTATACATAGTTTTTAAACCTCTGGTAAATGTTTTTTTTTAAATCAGCAATATAGTCAGCATTGCACTCAATAGGGAGCCCTGAAGACCTATTTTATTCTATATTTTAGAGATAGCCAAAAATATCCAATTTTCTGCTGACATTTCTGAAATATTACCATTTAGAGAAAATTGCTTTCACCTACATTTCACAAAGATTATATAATGTATGTCATGTCACTTGCTTCAACCTTTCAGTACCTTTTGAAATGTTTAATGGTTCACTCCTGCATGTATTTAGACTACCTTTTGAATTCAGTTATTATTTCACCGGTCAACATCAAAGTACATGATCAAATCTATGCCATGCGAATCAAGTTACATACCCTGACACCAGTTAATCAGTTGCACCCAATTCATTTGTGTCCCCGAGTGAAGCCACATTCTAGCTAACAGAGGGTCCCTCATGTGGCATTAAGGCATAACAAAATATCCAACACTGCCTTCCACACACTGGCACAAGCACAAATGGACCATGGCCTGTTATTTCTAAAGCCCAGCAATCTTAAAGGACCAATGACCGTTAGGGATAGTAGCAGCCACACTTTACACTGGCCTTCAGGCTTCTCTAATGTACGCTAGAATCGCCTCGAGGACTCTAGGTTCTCTCTGGGATCAGCAAGGTGGCCCCTCTCCCATGGGTTAAGCACCTTTTTGCTGCAGCCCAGGATCCTGCCCTTGACATAGATTTCATAGACATTAGGGGCTAGAAGGGACCTCACGGGATCATCCAGTTCAACCCCTGCCATAGGCAGAAAGTCTGCTGGGGTCAAACGATCCCGGCAAGATAAGCATCCAGACATTTTTTGAATGAGTCCAGAGTCAGTTCTTACACCACCGTAAGTTTGTGGCCGTTAGACCTTGGGGAGCCCTGGTGAACAACTGTTTTCCCACAGCCTGGTGCACCCCTTATATACTCAGGGGCATAGATGAGACCTGGCCCTAGAGGAGACCCAGGCACCGAGCCTCAGCTCCCTTATCAAACACCCCCCTAGGCAGGGCCATGCCTGGCATTCAACAGCCCCTGCTCCAGATCAAGTCCTCGGTTAATCAAGCAAAATAACACGGTTTTGACACACTGATTCAGACGGCTGGCTCCCAGGAGAGACCATCAATCACACTGCAGCAGGTTTGGGCAGGCAGCAAGAACAGGAGGACTTAAGCTGCACAAGGCTGGTACAAATGAAGGCGGCAAAGGCAGCCACAGGCGTTTGGCGGCGGAGGGGCGATTTCCCTCCCCAGGCCTCGCGCAGGAAAGCTGCCCCGATGGCGGAGGGTCCGGGCGGGCGTGCACGAGGGAAGCCCTCCCCGCCGGGCTCGCACCACCAGCTTCGCAAGTCTCCGCCGACCCCCGGCTGCCCGCCCGCCGCTGCAGCCGCCTCCCGGCTGGGGACACTACGTCCAGCAGATGCCACCAAGGCCAAGGACGTGCCTGTGGCAGCAGCCCCCTCCCCCCAGTGCAGTCGCTAACCCGGGCCCAGCCGCGGAAAGGAGCCGTCCTGCGCGAGGGGCAGCGGGGCCCCACGTCCGTCCGGCCCCGGCCCCGGCCCCGCGCTGCAGCGAGACCCACTCACGCGCCGCGCCAGCCACCGCTCTCCCTGTGGGCGCCGCCATCTTGGCCGCAGGTCATTCAAAGCCAACTTTATCGACAGCCTCTGCCGCGGACAGGGCGCAGCTCTGCGGAGTTGTTCTGGGAAGAAACCTAGCAGGGCAACAACAGTCCTCCCTGGTCAGGTCCCTGCCGTCAGGGATGGATGGAAGGACACTGACTTTGGGGAGGGGGGTCTGCAAAAAAAAAAAAACCTGCCCAGTTATGGTTATCAAATCTTACAGGGCCTCTGTTATGGGAGGCTCAGCCCCCCGAGCTCCCCGGTAATTTGAACCCTGTTTACATCGTCCCTCACATTGGGCTAAGCAACCCGAGGGACCTAAGCCACCAGGTCCTGCAAAGCCCCAGCAGAGCTCACTCAAGGACAGACCCCCACGCCTTCCCGGAGAACAGTGGTGCTCAACCTTTTTTGATGCGAGGCACCCCGTATAGACTCAAGGCCGCCTCCAGGGATGGAGGCAAACCTGAGCAGGTCAGAAGGGCTTGGCTGCTCTCGATTCCTGTTTGAAATCTCCAGGTTCATCGCTTGCACGCCTAACTGTGCTAACATCACATGGCATCCTGTGACCCCCAGGATAGCCCAGGGTTTCAGGGCACCCGCTTTGAGAATCACAGGGTCAGAAAGGCAATGAAAATCCTGTCCTCTAGCAGAGGCCCACTCCTGCACCAGTACTGGAAAACTTGCCAGATGAGAGGCAGCGTCCTGTTTCTTGACTGATAACGCTTCATGTTGTCAAAAGAATCCTATTAAGTGCTGGTTTACAGGTTACTGGGTCTTGTTTACTTGGTGCTTTTCTCCTGGCTTGTACAGAGAAACCTGCTGTGTTACTAACCCTTGGGATTTCTCTTTCCAGTTTTGCAATACTTAGATTCCTGAGTCTCTGTCTTACAATAATTTGGGGGGTTACCCATGAACAAAAAGTTAACATGTTATTTTTTGCTCATGGGTAACCCCCTATCTCTTCATGCACATAAAGCTCTATACATGTGTAAGAGTTCACAAGGTTGGGCATGGAAACTGATGCAGAAAATGCAGGTTTTGGACCCTGAATTTTTTTAAAGGATATTTACACACACAACCGACAGATCATTGGGAGCTATGGATCAGGGCAGGGTGCTGGGGTTCTTTGTATGGAAGGAATAGTACTGGCATTTAGGAGGTGTTAAAAAAACTCATATACAGCCACAAAAGCCGGTGTAGTATGACTCTGAAGAAAAAGGGGAGAGATTTTTAGGTAAAAAATTGGATGAAAGAGACTTGGAGCTATAAGTAAAGCTAACTTGTCATTCCCAGGGCCGAACACAGGTATGGGCAAACCAGGCAGCCGCCCAGGACCCAGACAGAAAAGGGACATGAAAATGATATATATTTTTTTATGTTGTCTGATTATTATTATCATTATCTCTGGTGAAGGGGGTCCCAATACTAAAAGTTTCCCTGGGGCTGCCAGGAGTCTAGGTATGGAGCTGGTGATTCCTACTCCATACCAGAAAATTGGACTTTGTACATTCCTTGTATATAAACAGGATTGTATCAAGACATTTCTCCTTCTTATTGAAATAAACTACAATACCCAATAATTAGCTAACTGCTGTGTTAGAAATGATGGTATAAATATTTATGCTCCTCTTCCTATAGGAGAATGTGGAAAGCTCTGAGTGAAGTTGAAAGTATGGGTGAAGGAGTCTTTGCAGGTAGTGTGAATGGTTTGTGCACTGTAAAGCTTTGCTCCGCTGGCACAGCAGGCAACAAGGCTGTAGCCGTTTCCTTATTCCCAGTTCCTTCTTCCTTATGCCCCATAGGCAGTATGCACTGGAGGGTTTATAAGAAGGCTGAGGCAAGTCAGGGGACAGGCCAGTACCATATTTACATAATGATGTGTGTAACCTCAGCATGTATTAACCTCTGCAGACAGAAGTTCACATATAACAAGCATATAACAGATATTACTGAATCTTAAGAGTGTAACAGCTGCAGAGAAGCTTGCAACCTACAGAGAAGATAGACTCAATCCCCTGCTGAAGCTCCTACGTCAAGGCTGTTTACGTAGTCACAAAGCAGAGTTTGACTGGTGGTGTTTTCCTCTCTTCTTCCGGTAAGTGGGCGGGGACGGAGGCACGGGGCCTGCACTGGCGAGGTC